AGGTCCAGGGAAGGTTCCCACTTCCCACCACAAGGGAGTATAGGGGGCAAGTCCTGCCTTTGTCATTTTGACAAAGGGCCACTCTCAAGACTTAAACCTGTTATCTCTCGGACACACAGAAACACAAGTCTCCCCTTCTCAGCTTCCGATTAAATATCCTTAAAAAATGCAGATAATTGTCAAAGAGAAGGGTATATTCACTAATGTGGCATCTCCATCAGCGAAAGCCAAACTGAGATTGCTTTTCGAAGTGGCGCCTTTGGGATTCTTGATAGAGAAGGCAGGAGGGTATAGCAGCGATGGGAAGGATTCTGTGCTTGAGAAGGTGATCACAAGTCTTGATGATCGGACTCAGGTAGCCTATGGTTCCAGAAATGAGATTATTCGGTTTGAGGAGACACTCTATGGATCCTCCAGGCTTAATAAGATTGCTGCTGCTGAAACAGTTGGAACTACTGCTGCTTAATTATAAGAACAAATAATATTACGTAATTACTTTGTAAATTAATACTCTCACTACTATAATTTGTAAATTAATACTCCCAATACTCAGAATGCTTTGTTTTGTAGGCATGTGAATGCAGATATTCAATTTAGACCGTGGTGGGTTATGCTTTCAAGTCAGGCCAACCCACAGTACATGCAACTTTTTAGTTTACAGTTTGACTTTTACAGTCTCTTAAACAACATTCAATATTGCTTTAAAAATAAAGCAGTACTAACAAAGTTATAATTGAACCCAACCCAATAAGTTCACTCAGGCCAACCCAGTTCATGCAACTTTTAAGTGTTTTCTCTATATACAAAGTATAATTTAGTTTTGTCTTCTCTTTAGAATATCACTCGCATTATCTGTTATATCTATCACTTCTACAAAGCGTTCTAGTATGTGTTTCTAATTTTAAACCAGTTTTTAATTTCAAGTCATTATTGAATTAAATTAGCTTTTTACGTTGTATATGATGTATAGTGATCAATATTTATGTTAGAGAAATTAAATATGAACTTCCAATTTGATTGTGTGTTACCATTTCATAAATACCGCAAATCATTTAGTTATTTTGTAGCATCAGACCCTTTCAGTTTTTCTGTTGACCAATTAGTATAAGAAAACAAACTACTCTTTGTGTGTGGGCAGCATAGATTGGGGTTAGCATTCTATGCTTTTTTGAATTGTAAAAAGTGAATATTGTGCACAACTTTAATATTCACTACCTAAGCTCTAACCATAAAACATTCCATTCTTCAAAAAAAAAAAATATGCCCAAAACATGCACATGAGCGTTAGCGGTTCATCCTGCAACGAACTGGCATTACAACATTTAAATAGTATTTAGAAAGTTGATTAATGTCATCACCAAATAAGTCTTCTTTTTAGTTTAATGCTCAATCAATAGTTAGTTACTCACGAAGAAATACCCGTAAGTTGAAAATTATATGTTATAATATGATTGAATTTCAGTTTATATGTCTCAATGTGCCTACACCTCATCCAGAGCTCGTCCATATTTTTTATGGGCTGAACTAGGCCCAGTGGATAAATATATGTCCATACATGTGCTCGTCTTTAATGGCAAGCTAGATAGATTGGCCCATATTTGTATAGGTCTTATGCTCAAATATCTATTAATACGTATCGGAATGGCTACTGCGGATTCTTTCTTCTTAAAAAAGAAAACCCTAATTATCTAGACGAGCTCTCGCCGTCGACCTTCTTTCACACCCTACAACAGGCATGGACCCGGCCCGGTTCGGGCCCGGTTCGGGCCTGGGCCCGGTTCGGGCCTGGGCCCGGCCGGACCTCGGTTCAGGAAAGGGGAGGCCCGGAACCGGCCCGGGTAAGCCCCGGGTCCAGGCCGGGCCTCGGTTCAATATTTTTTTTTGCCTTTTCCTAATTAACCCCTAACCACCACCACCCCCCCCCCCTCACCCCCAAACCATCCCAAACCATCTCAAATGACCCAAAATACCTAGCCCAACCCAAAAACTTAAAAAAAATTCAAAAAAAAAAAGAAAAATAAATAAAATTGCCCGAACCGGCCGGGCCAGTTCACGTTTTGAGGGGCCCGAGCCCGGACCGGAACCCCAGCGGGCCGAGCCTAACCGAACCGGTCACTGACCGGGCCACCGGGCCGGTTCGGGCCGGTTCCGGGTCGGGCCACCCGGACCGAGTCCATCCTTACCCTACAATCAAAATTGATCGAACAACTCTAATCGACAACTCGTTCGATCATCAACCAAAATTGATCGAACAACTCTAATCAACAACTCGTTCGATCATCAATCATGACATCGAAGGGTGCCAACAAACTCGAGTTTGCTTGAGAAAATCATCCATGAGCTAAGAGTCTACAATAGGTGAATGTATTCTAATTAAAGCGCCTATGATGGAATGTATGTTTCCCCCTCTAAATTGTTTGATTTTATATCTATGGCATTTGATTTGGTGATTTGTGGAATAGCTTATATGATTATATATCTTATTGATGTGATGATGTCTAATATTTTAGTGGACATCTTATTTAATTTATTTCCATATACTGCAATAATTATAATATGTGAAAGATTGACTGTTGAGAAATGCTTTGATGGGTCAATGTACTCAATATCTACGGGAAATAGGATACATGTGATGTAGCCAGAAGCTATTATTGTACGCAATAGATATTGATGAATATAAAATTTTCATTTATTCAACCAACTAGAGTTTATATTTGGATAGTTTATTATAAACCTGCTAAGGACTCGGAATCAAAAGAGATAATATAAGCTACTTCATTTTGTAGTCCAACATATAACATAAGAACACTATTAAGTAACCAAGACTTTCTGTATATTTTCAATTCTGGAGAATCTCACATTTTAAAAATGAAAATAGATTTCTATGTTAATCGAAGGTGTGGAAAAATTGTTCAAGCATAAGTGTGGCTTATGTCTGAAGCAGGTCATGTATGTGAAACTAATTCCCAGCAATCAAACTGAAATACAAACAGAATAAAGATAAAATAAATCTACAATTAAATACCACAATGATGTAGAAATTTCATACATAGTATGAACACAATTGCTATTCTCACAACTCTCCAAATGTGAGTTAATGTCTAACCTCTATTCTTCCTTATATAAGTAAGGGTGGTAACGTATGTATTACATAATAGTAAATGGGTCTAAATACAATAGCAACCCATGTGAAATAACTAATGTAATAACAACACAAATACAAAGAAATAACATGATTGGACATCATAAAACTATTCTAAAAATCTCCCCATTGATGTTCAATCGTGTTCAATCAGCATTGCAGTGCGGGTATCTTTGTCCTTGTGTTGAATCAGACGATGTAGAGGAGAGGGTAGATGAGATTGATTAAGTTGCTCCCTTTTGTATCGATCTTCAGTGCAGCTCAGTTTCCTTTGTCTTCTTGGAAAGGCTTTGGGGTATAAACCTTACACCTTCCCCTTTGATGTCTTCTGAAAATTTGTTCTTTGATGTCAGGGTTGAGGGATCTTCATGATCTTGCATGTAATCCATTCCTTTCAAAAGTTACTCTTGATCAGCTTGAATGAATTGTGATAGCGCATTTACTATTAATGTTCTGAAGAGTTCTAAACGCACACGAGATTCATCTTTAGTATTTGATTATCCTACCAATGTCTCCTCCAGAATGTAGCCTTTTGACTATTGGATGTGAAAGATCTTGAACGACAGTTGTCATTGGCACGGCGGAGAATAATGGTTGATTTGTGAGTGTAGCTGATCATTTGATGTGATGTTGATTTGGCAATTTTGATGAATTGGAGAGTAGAGAGCCGTCAATTTTTGTGTTGCAGAGAAGTGTTTGAGAACAATTTTTAATGTTTGTAAGCACGTGGATCACTCTCCCCCTCATGACCGGTCAAATGAATTGGAGCGTCATGCCATTATTCATCTATTGTGGGTAACAAAACAAAAACAAAAAATTAAACAAAAAGGTAAAGGCCAGATACACCTTGATGTCCTTCTAGTCGTTCTGGCATGATCAAAAGGATCATTAAAGAAAATGGTAGCCCCTCAGGGAAATCGGCTATAGGTACTCCACAAGTCTCATGCAGTGGGGTTCAATGTTTTATATGGCAGAAACCAGGCAAGCTACAACAGCACTCAAGCAACAACAGGTCCTCGATCGAACCAAGGTAGTGGGGCCTTGATTCAAGGTTTCAATTCCAGCAACAGCCACCTTCCTCCCCCTCAGACATGGTAGGGTATCGATTGAGTGAGGGTTCCAGAAGCAACTATGCTTGGGCTACAGCTCCTAGGAGCCTTGAGCCCCCAACAGTCCCTGCTTTGGAGCCTTGAGTTGGTCTGGGCAGCAACATATGGGCAGCTACTTGGCTTGGGCAGCAATCCTCTTGACATGCAGGACGTTAGTTTCCTGATAGTGGGTATGGGCAGGACGTTAGTTTCCTGGCAGCAACCGCTAGTCATGATGCAGGTCACAGCCTCGCAGGCAGCACGCCCTGGGTTTGGTTAGGACAAGACCCCAGGCGGCCAGGCAGCAGAGGCTCAACTGAGCAAGGTGTTCGGATCCAGCCAGCCTCCTTGTTCGGTCCGCACAGTCAGCAAATATGGGCAACAACCCCTTGGCAGTTGGCACCCTGTAGAATGTAGATCCTGGATAGGGGGCACTGAGATTGGATCAGGCAGCAGCCCTTAGGCTGTTAGGCAAGGTAGACTGTCCAGCCAAAGCCTAGTCCAAACTCCAAATCCAATCAAAAGTTTGGACTGTGCAAGGCGGGAGCATCTAAGCAACAGCAAATGGAGTTGCTGGGCCTTGATCAGACAAGGGCTTGGGCAGCAGCCTATCTAGGACCCAGCATCGAATAGCCTGTGCTCCAGCAATATCATTAGAGGCCGACATGGCAAGCAACCCGGAAATCCAAAGCAGGGAGGCCAGAGCCCGGAGGGGCAGTCCCATGCTTTAAGTTAATTAATTAATGGTAAACCTTTCATGGCATTGAAGATGAATTAATTAATTGGCGATAATAACAATTACTTGAAATATTGAAATGAGGTGGTGACTGTACAGTTCCAAAAAACAACAACAAAACCTTAAAATCTACAACCTATTATCACGCGCCTGTATCACTCTCTCCCCATTTCCTGAAGTTTCATCATCATCATCATCCAAACAAATGCCACCTGTTGCAGACGTCATCTCGGTCATCTGCCCAAATACAAACTTCCCGCCACCAATCTCTCTCATACCTATGTCTACGGTTCCACTATACAAACCCCTACTGCCGCCAGTAAGCATGGTTAGCTCCTTGTCTTCCTTAACAGGCAGAAAAGAAGGCAGAACACTCATCAACGAAGATGAATTCGATTGATTGGAGCTATTGATGAGCATACGGAGTGTTTCTCTTGCACTCTTCTCCGCCATGGACTCTGCCTCAGGAATCAACGGTGGGAGGGCAGTCGACATACCTGGGCCTGCACTCACCAAATATCCCTGCCCCCCTGAGGTGCACACATCAATGAATGGGATGTGGACTATAGGATCACACATTAAGGGAGTAAAGGTCGGGATCTGCTGCGAAGTTGGCAAACTCAATGGCAATCTAAGTAAAGGGTCGGGCAGAAGCGGAGGAAACTCTTCTAGGGAAGACGCTATGGAAAAATTCAACGGGGCAGGTGACAGTGAGGAAATCACAGGAAGGGAGAGAGCTTCACTGGATAAAATTGGGAGTTGTGGAGTTCCTAGTGAATATTGCAAGGCTGATGCGGGAGGGCACCAACAATAATAAGGAGAAGCCAAAGAAGGAATTGTGAGTCCTGAGGTCATATATGGCGGGTCCAGATGTAACAACTGAAATGTAGCATGTTCTGAAGATGGCTTCTCCTCCTCCTTAGGAGGCTGGACAATACTATCTCCACGCCTCCTGAGTTTCTCCCTTGCAACACTCCTCAATGAGTTCCTGAGTGAGCTCTCCTTGAAGGAACCTGACCTGGCACTCAGACCTCCATGACGGGCCCGGATAGGCTTCTGGTCAGACACAGAAGAATCATCAACTGCGGAATCAAATGTGAGAGACGTTGACCCAACGAGGTGGGCCCGGAGATGAAATGCAAAGCACTTGAGCCGTGACTCACATACTCCTGTAAGCTCGGCAAGAGATGGTTTTGTTTCGAGTAAATCCTTCATCTACATCAAGTGAAAAATAGAATGAATTAACAATAATCTTATCTATTACTCCTTCCGTCCCTGAAAAAATTTCCAACTTCCCTATTTTGTCCGTCCCAATTAAACTTTCACTTTCTCTTTTTGGTAAAGAATTTGTGGTTCATAGCATTTCTTACACACTTCTTTCACCTCTACACAACTCTCCACCACACAGTACCCACTATCTTAATCTTTGTGCCATTTGTACTATGGAAGTTTCATTATGGACAGAGGGAGTAGAATTTTTGGGGTTTTACGTAAAAGAGTGTATAAATCCACCTTTCTTAGCATTTCATCCCCAAGAAGCTTAGACTTCTCTGAACACCAGAAATACATACTCAAACCACCTGCGATTGTGAGCTTAAAAGAACGTCCAGTCTGGTCTGCAGGGATTCCCTCAATCTCAACAGTGGAGCAATCCAATGTGCTGCAAAGTGTTGCCAGTGTATCCGTGCTACCATCGTCCCCGATGAATGAGATCCGCATGTCAGAAGTTGGTAAAAGAGAGAGACTTAGGTTTCCCCTGAGGCAGAAGAAACAATAAATTAGCAGCAGCCAAAACATGAATAGAAGTTCGATAGAAAGACGATGAACATGAAGAATTGGATTATCTATTGCCTTGTTATCACAGGTTGGAACCCAGAAAAATCCAGGGAAAGAAAATATGCAAAGAAAATAGAGACGAAATTGGAAGGAGATATAAATGTAGAAAAATTATTAGTTCAAACTCAATATAAATTGTAGCTATTTCTCAAAACTTGATAAGTGGATATGTTTATTTTTATTATCTAAGTAATTAATTGTACTTGGTGGCAACTCAATCAAAGGCCGAGTAGCTAGAAGGACCAAATATCCTAATACTACCTCCGTCTCTTAGTACTCTATCATCTTTGACTTTTCAAGTCAATGGTCATAAACTTCATACAATGATTTTGATTAGTATAATTTTATGATAGTTATAAATTTTAACTTATATGAAAATATTTTCAATAAAGAACATTTCCATATCATTTTTTATTATAAATAATTTCCAATAAAAATATATCATTGCTCGAAGTTTAATGGACGGAGGATGTATACACAACATCCAAGCCTTATTTCCTAAAGAGGATGGAGGGAGTATAAGTATATAAAATAATAATCTTAATAATTAAGTAACATAAATCATATACAATTTAACTTTCCAAGAAACTAAATCATCTAATAATTTTTAAGTCCCAAGTTTTATCCTAAACTAATTACCAAAACATGATTTTCCCAAACAGATGTTTGCTGCTCATATTGTCAACAAGTTCATTCTCTTCCACACCATTTCGATTTGTATCAAGCAGTCTGTATCCCATCTATATTTCCCACAAGTCAGAAGTTTATCCTCTTTCTTTTTTTTAATAGTCACTAAATATTTTAAAGACCGTAATATCAGCTTTAGTTTAAAATTTTCAGATTTAACAAAAAAAAATCAACTATTGCTGACCAAACTACTTACCGAGTTGTGAAAATTGCGAGTACTCGGAGTATTGGAACAGAATGTGTAAGTACACTAGTCGGTAAGGTCTTACCCTGAGTAGCAAGTACTTGCCAAGTACTCATCAATTACACGCACAAATATACATACTAACATAGGGTACGGTTCCGGTAAGAATGAAGCTTTAGGAGAGAAATAAGAACAACATCCATGTAATGGACCATATTACTGATGGTTTACGGTTCCGGTTCCAATTGATTTAATCGGATGGTTATAAAAGTAATGGACCATATTACTGATGGTTAAACTCACGTGCACACTATTAGAAATTTACATGGAAAGTTTGTAATACATTTAATACATAGGGGCATCTTTGTAAATGAGTAAATGGACATTAGGAATGCATTTACTATTTAAGGAAGAATCTGAACCATCTTATCGCTACTTCCTCGATAAAAGTAAAGCAAGGCAGAAATTCATGTGTGCAGTGCTACCGATTAGAAATCAAAAACACAAAAACATTATGAAAGTGCAGATTGTTTTCCTTTATAGTGCATCAAGTTGTGCAAAGAATTATGGAGATAATTACGACGAAAAATAAAAAGAAAGTGCCTATGTGAAGACTATAAACTGTCTAAAGTTGTATACTCATGCAATAATTCATGTATAAAGTTATAACTTTAGTAATTCATTAATTATAGCATCATGTATTCATGTGCATGTGTATTGGTATTGTGCAATATATATCATGTAGAGTGCATTATTTAGTACTACCTCCGTCCCGAAAAGGTTCGCCATGTTGATTTTTCTTGGTCAATGATGATGAACTTTGGACAACGATTTTCATTACTCCCTCCGTCCCCTTTTATTTAGCCAAACACCTTTTTCCCAGTCAAAGTTGTTCAACTTTGACCAATTATATATTTATACACGATAATATTGATAATGTGAAAATTATATGAAAATGTTCTTTGTTAAAAATACTATCATAAAAGTATAAATTTATTAAGTTTTACATAAATATATTGGTTGAAATAATGGATCAAAGTTTACCACCTTTGACTGGAAAAGTCAAAGATGGCTAAATAAAAAGGGACGGAGGTAGTATTATATTTATATATAATTTATAAATTTTATAGTTTAATGAAAATATTTTAAATAAGGAACATTTTGATATAACTTTCATATTCAAATTAATTACGTATTAAAAAGTATCATTAATCAAAGTTGATTGTCATTGACCAAGAAAAGTAAGATTGACGAATATTTACGGGACGGAGGAAGTATATAAAAACAGTTGTAGTTCCTTGCAATAGATGAAAAGCACTGAAAATGATGACATGTGGTAGGGTAAATTGGGCACTAAAATTTTCGTGTGTGTGCATGAAAGGTGTAAATAGAGGCGTATTAAGGATGATAAGTGGTAGGGTAAATTGTGCACTAAACTTTTTGTATGTGTGCATGAAAGGGGTTATATAGAGGCGTATTAAGGATGACGGGTGGTAGGGTAAATTGTGCACTAAAATTTTCGTATGTGTGCATGAAAGGGGAATGTACGTTTTGCACACTAAGTAATAATGTGGCACATTATAAAATTGTGCAGATTGACTCACTGAGTTGTGCAGTTTAAAAAAGAAAATCTAAAGTATACGAAATGAAAGCAAACCGTGCAGTAGTAGTAAGAACACACATTAGATCATTTCATCATTTGCATATGTGGAATGTAACTGAAAAGGAAAGGAAATTATTGATTCATTAAGTCTCAAAATTAAATGAATGTGAAAATGAAAATGGAAAGGTTGTTCAAGTAGGTATGGAAAGAAAATACATAATGACAAAAATGGGCAAGGAGTCTACACGTGACTATGAAGGAAAATGATCCAATTTAATGGCTAGGATTGTTTCTTATTTCTCTCCTAAGATGATGTTCTTATTTGAGCCAAAATCTACGAACATATATACAAATGGCCAAAATCTACGAACATATATACAAATATATATATATAATCATATCTTATCTTTATTTGTATTTTCCACAGTAAACCCAAACACTAAAATATCATTTACTCTTGGTATTTGTTTATTTTCCTGCAATTTTTACTGTCTTCCTAAATCCTAACTCAGCCTCAATATTCTAATAATCCTTGAGTTTTGGCAATGGTATATAACCATCATTAAGAAACCACTTTGTTATCACTCAACTATATACTGTAAAAATATTCATAATTTCATATACAGCCCTTCATTATGTAAATAAAAGGAAGGAAGGAAGATATGAAACAAAGAGAACGTCAATTCTGACTGGAGCACAGTCAGGATATAGGGTTAGAACGATGTTACTGGTCCAAATTGACAATGAAACTGAATTCTCATGATGACATCAGACTTTAACCTATACTCACCCCCCCCCCCCCCATCTGCCATGACCATGTTAGCAAAGAAATACCCAACACAAGCATGGAACAAATAAACAAATAAGTCCACAAAAACAGTGTAGAATTGATGGCTAGATATAAATGCAAATTGAAAATCAAAATACTAACATACAATGATACAATTAGAGAAAGTGGTCATATTATTCTAATGCAAAACACGAATAGCAAAGATATGTTAAACCATATTGTACTCCACTTTCTTTTAAATGAATAAAGTAGGAAGATATTATAAACTAAGAGCTAGTATTAAAACAAAGGAGGATGGAATATAATTTTGACTGAATAATAAGTGGACTCACTTATATCAGCATATTATACACAACTTGGGATGACAGATCAAAAATTGGCAGCTTAGGAGTACAAATAATCCACTTAGGGCAACTCCATTCCATCAGACAAACGTTTACACATAAGACCAACCTCAATGGTATCTTGACTGTGTCAATATGCACCACCTAGCTGTGAACAGAGTCACATTTCAAGATGCAGTGGTCTAAGGTAGAATCCAGCATGCAGTATCCATCATGAGATGGTTAGGTACGTCTGCAATTCATGTACAATAAACTCAAAAATGAACCCTAAACGAGTTTAGGGATCACATAAATAGCTAGCGAATCCTACTTCTAATATCAACAGAGATTCAGAACGCCCAAGTATTAGTACAGAATAATTCCACCAATGGAAAAGGAAGTTGTTTATGGAGTTGAAAGAAGTAGAGACATAGCTAATACTAAAATGCATGTATGATCATCAATTTCAAGGAAATGGCACTTACACATTTACCATGCAAGTGATCAGGAAAGTCACAATACCTTAATCAGATAAAACATTATGATTACCCTAAAATACTATAACAAGACAGTTAACATGTATTCTAATGTCTATGCCTTTTCTTAAAGAAGTCTTTTTAACCCCGTTCCCCTCTCAGTATTTCCCAGCAAAATGCACACATAGATAGTTTCAAGATCTTTATGGGACTCATAATGTTAGTTCCATTAAAAAGTGCACCTGAAAACGTAGACTCAAAAAATAAAAAACTAAAAGATACAGACATATCTATCATCTAAAAACTTGTTAGTTTGGTGTAAAAAGGTGGGGGGAAACAGACAGCACATAAAAAAACGTTAGCAGCACTTTGTAAGCCCTAAACTATCTTAATCATTTGAAATAAGGGTGTAAATTAACTAATAACAATTCACAATTTACATGACAAACAAAACACAGCTTGATTATAATATACAAAATGAAATGAAAAAACTTTTCACTTCGAAAAGTCAGTAGTGCATGTTATGTCATCTCGTACAATTGCAACTACCTTATGGAGGTAGGACACAACAGTTTTCCTTGCTTCTTGATCTTTCCAACACGCACTGAAACCAGTGGAATGCACAAGCATCTGGCTAGCTTCCCAACCTCTGCTGGTTCAAAGTGCTGTTCCATATAAACATACAAATCTGTTAATGTTTTCCTCAGGACGCCTATAAGTGGCATAAAGCTGAAGTAACTTTTCATAGAAAAACGTTCAATCAAACCCTAAGACATTGACAGGTAAATAACACTAAGACCAACTTATTTAACAGCTACGGATCACAAAGAAACCGCAGATCGAACGCTACCTGACTAAGATAAGCGAGTAAGCAATCCTCAGCTGCGCCTGTAGACACATTCATCTTCAACAAAGGCTTCAGCCTCTCATCAGCACGGCATGCGCCCATCACCTGCATATCCATAGCCTGGAGCCACTGCGAAACACTGTAACCTTGATCGCACGGTTGAACCAATAGATCTCCGTCGCCGTCGTTCACCAAGATCTCCGCCAGCCTCTCCGCGAGCCTAGGGCGGCCCCGGCTGGCACCTGAACTCTGTCCTGATTCCACCGGAGTCCCAACCGACTCAGTCCCTTCAACTAGATGACCGCCGATGGAATCCTCAGCGCCATCTCTCTCCCGATCGTTCGAAGATTCGTTCTGCTTACCAATAGCCATTTTAATTCGTAGATTAGATAGAAAATTAGATTAAGTTTATTCAAATTCTTGCAATCACAACCGTCCGAAAAAAGCTTAATCCGGCTACAATTCAGTTCCGATTCAAAACGATCTTGGGCAAGGAGAACGATGAGCGTAGTTGATAGAGAGAGAGATGACAACGACAGCTCCCAACGCAGAGCAAATGAATGATAATGGGCCTCGAGAGCGGTTAATATCGCGGATACAGATAGATAAATAGATACATAGCCCTCCGGACTTGAAATTCGAAACTAAAATCTCTGGTGTAAAGTATGCTTGGAGTCCGGAATATCTTCAAGACTTCAATCATAGAGACATGGACCGGACGTACACGTCAGACTACAGGTGGTATGGCCCACGTGAGGGACCCATGTAAGTGGGCGTGCCACGTCACGCATCTGTTTCACCATTGGATAGAGGGCAGGGCGAGAACATTACGTTGACGGCAAGCCGTGCGGTTCTTGACGGCAAGCCGTTTTTGTTTTTTGAAAAACGCAGATTTGTCATGCTTCTTTATAAAAAAAATTAACACTACTTAATCAGGACATTATTACGTTGTTTTGATCTTGTTTCGTAGTGGTTTGAAAGCCAAAAATAAGTTTAAAGGATTATAAGAAAACATAATTGATAGTACTCATTCTATAATAAAATTCAAAATATATAAGATGAGGTGTTTTCAAATGTACATTGGTATATTGGGAGTGGCGGAACCAGAACAAAATTTTAGAGGGGCGGGCGGAAAAAAATTCGAATGACTGGTTGGAAATATCTATAATCTGTATCGTTTTTGTTTATATTTACGATAATTTGATCTCAAATCCAATTTCGACATTAAGTGACACTTTATTTGGACATATATGTAATTCACACACAAGCGCACACATACATATACATATCAACTTAAATAGACATTTATTTATTTTTATACGTGTTTTGTTAGTGCATAAACAAAATAAAAGACTTCGTTTATCAAACGAGTTTATTTCGATTTAATACGCTTTCTCCTTTTATTTTAGAATAACAAGGTTTATATTTTTTAATATAAAAATCGCTAAACAAGTAGAAGGAGATAAATTAATCATATATATAAGTTACTAACTTATCAAGAAAATAGTAATTTTATTTTTCTCTTTTCAAATCAACGTTACTTGCAGGTTATTTGTTTTTTACATGGATATTTGTTTTATTTTTGCAAATGTTTTACATAAATCTAATTATACTCATATACAGTAGATATTTAAAATATCAAGAAGAAATTTTGGCATACTTGTACTAAATCAAGGAATAAATAACTATGTTAAAATTCAAGTCATGTTGAAAACATTCGTGATAAACTCCTTATAAAATGATTTAGATCAATGTTTAAATAGGAAAGAAATAGTTAATGGTCATTTGTTACTACTATTGCACTAAATAGAAGATGTAAAAAATAGTCCTCTCCTTTATTGCTATGATTGAGAAACAATATGCTCTATCTATCAAAACTGTGTGCAGTGATAACGGGACCGAATTTAAATGCATGCTTCCTTATTTTGACTCTCATGGCATTCTGTTTCAAACATCTTGTGTTCATACACCCCAACAAAATGGACGGGTAGAGCGCAAACATCGTCACATTTTAAATGTGGCACGGGCGTTGATGTTCCAGGCTCATATTCCAATCCATTTTGGGGGTGAATGCGTGCTCACTGCGGTGCATGTAATTAACAGAACTCCATCTGGTATTTTAGACGGGAAGACTCCTTATGAGCTACTTAATGGCACACCCCCTGATTTTTCTCACTTGCGTGTCTTTGGTTGCCTCTGTTTTGCTCACAATGTTAGATGCCGGGAAAATAAATTTTTCCCCCGAACTCGGCGTTGTATTTTTATGGGCTACTCTCCTGGGAAAAAGGGGGGGAAGGTGATGGATTGGCACACGGGTGAATTTTTTGTCTCTCGTGATGTTATTTTTCATGAAGATGTTTTCCCCTTTCTGACTCATGTTCCTAAGTCCTCGGATACTCATATGCCCGCAACTGACCTGCTCTCTTCGGCTCCGGTCATTTTGGACCCAGATCCTGTCCCCGCTGCTACTGAGGTACCTCCTGCTACTACTACTGTTGCGGCCTCGGCTCCACAGACGACTGCCCACTCCGATACTCTTCTTCTCGGCCGAGGTTTGCGTTCTAAACGCCCGTCGGTGTTGCTTCGGGATTTTGTCACGCACCATATTCACACATTGAGCCCGTCCCCGTTGTCTCCCTCCTTCGTCAGTTCCTCAGGTACTCCTTATCCTATAGCTAATTGTTTAAAATGTGACAAGTTTTTGTTGGAAATATGATGATATAAGCATTATTTATTTGGGTCACATTATTGTGTCCTAAGATATAATTGTATTAAATATGGAGAGTAGGCTGATAATACATCAAAGAATAACTTACATATTTGGATTTAAAATTAGAATCCATAGTTGTAAAGATTGTAAAGTGATGTATTAAAGCAATGAATTTATTTGTTCCATATTAGAGGCTAAATCATCTCGTATGATTATTTATAATCATTATATGATAAGGAACACTGTTCAAGTATCATATAAGGTGATGTGACATTTTAATTTTCACTTGTATGTGTGCGTGACCGGACATATTATAAGTGATGGAATTGATGTCGTAATTCTAGACTCTCTAATTTTGTGAACAATATAATGTAATAGCTAATAGGATTTTTTAAGTTGAATTCAAATTCAAAATGATAATCCTCGATGCTATTAAAGAGATTCATAAACATGGATCCGTTTTGGCCTTAACTCTCATGGTTTAATACGTGCATTTGATTTCCGTTAAAACATCCTGGCGCCTGCTCCTTTAATTTTTTAAGTACGAAGTATACGTTTTGTATACAAAGTACTAAAAGGTGGAGCAAGTCACATTTTTGCATGAGCTATATATACTTCTCACGTAGCATTAGAAAAAAAAAAACAAGGCTCTGCACACTCAATATATGAATGATCTTTTTCTTTTGTTGAGTTGAATCATCCGTGACCTTGCTTTTCTTTTCCAAAGAAATACATAGTTTGAGACCATAGTTTTCATAAGTTGTTTAAGCCAACTCTATTAATTGGCAAGTTTGGCAACGGTCGAAGGTTTCAGTCAAGGTAGCTACAAGTCTGGAACGTGGTAGGATTATCCTGGGAGCGAGTTAGCCAGACCCGTCCGAATAGCTATCGGGATACGGGGGCTATCTTTCTTCAAGACCAGTCCGTTCTAACGGGCGATCCTGCGATAAGTTTTTCTCATCTTTTCTCTTTATTCACTTTTATTATTCTAATTATTATTATTATTATTTTTTATTTGTTCTTGCATTTGTTGGTTTGTCTGGTGATTTGTATAAACTCGGGATTTTTATCCGGTTAAACTCGCATTCTTAATATCAATTTTCTAACAATCTTGAAGAAAGATATTATTTCTCGAGTTTTGGAAAATCCAAAAATGGCAAACTTGGAAAATGCTGTTAACAATGAAATTGTTGGTTTAGAGAATGCTTTTGTTGCCCCTGAAAATGATAATTCTGTGTCTGTCACTAATTCACAAGGCACACCTGAATATATTGCTACGGGCTCGCACAGGGTGGATTTAACCGGGATGCCGGAAAAATTTTCTGGGCATTTTTTCAAGCGTTGGCAACAACGCATGAAAATTTGGTTAATCACCAAGGGCTTGCTTTCAGTGATTATGACGGTGTGTCCTCCGGTTGTCGAATCTGATCCCAAAAGTCTTGAACGTCATGGACTTTGGCTTGAGAGGGACGAAATTGCAAAAGGCATGATTCTCATGGGTTTATCCGACATGTTATTTGATGTCTATTGTACCCTCCATGGGACGGCCAAAGACCTTTGGGATGAGTTAGATAGAAAATATAATACTGATGACCACGGTCTTGAAAAATATATTGTTTCTAAATTCCTACGATTTGACATGAAAGAAGGAAAATCGGTTTTAGAACAGATACAAGAATTTGAGCTTATCTTACATTCTCTTCGTGAAGCGGACATGGAATTGCCTGAAAAATTTAAAGTGATGGCGGTCATAGAAAAATTTCCCAAATCATGGGAAGATTTTGGTATGACTTTAAAACATAAAATGAAAAAGATCACTTGAAAATCTTTGATGCATTCCATTACGGTTGAGGAGGAACATAAGAAAGCGGGTTATATTGCGCCTATTGAATTTCAACCGAAGGCTCATGTTATAACTGGGGGAAAGCAAGCACATGACTCTAAAAATAAACAATCACCATCTTTTAAACCCATAAAGGCCAAACTAAAAATTGCAAAGAAACCAAAGGCAAACCGACCATGCTGGAACTGTGGACAGATGGGGCATTGGGCCAAATTGTGTCCTAATAAAAAGGCCAAGGCTCAATCTGGGGGACCTCAAGTCAACATGGTGACTGGAGGGACTAGTTCTAATGGGTACGTTTCTATTAATCCTCAAATTTTCACGATTTATAATTCCAATGAGTGGCTAATAGATACGGGAGCGAATGTGCATGTATGTGCTGATAAATCGCTCTTTGTTTCTTATCAGCCTGCGGTTGGAAGAACAGTGATGATGGGGAACACAAGTGTTGCTAGTGTGCAAGGAATTGGAAAAGTAGAAATAAAATTCCCTTCGGGAAAAATTCTATCTTTGCATGGAGTGCATCACGTTCCCGAAATTAGAAGGAACATCGTTAGTGGTTCCATTCTAGTTAGGGAGGGTTATGAGTTGTCCTTTAAATTAAATAAAGTTGTAATTTTATTTGGTGGAACTTTTATTGGCAAGGGTTACTTGTCTGATGGACTTTTTAAAGTTATGGTTGATTATTTAGAATTAAATTATGTATCTGAGAATTGTGATTCTTCAACTTTATGGCATTATCGTTTGGGTCACGTTAATTTAGATTCTGTGAAAAGAATGATGAATTTAAATTTAATTCCTAAGCACTCTATTGATAAAACTAAGAAATGTATGATATGTGCTACTACTAAACAAGTAAGAAAACCATATCATTCAATTGATAGAAATTCAGAATTACTTGATTTAGTTCATACCGACATTTGTGAGTTTAATGGAGTGCTTACACGTGATAAGAAAAAATACTTTATCACTTTTATTGACGATTATTCTAAATACTGTTATGTGTATCTACTTAAGGGTAAAGATGAAGCTCTTGAAAAATTCTTAATTTTTAAGAATGAAATAGAGAATCAAACTGGCAAGAAAATTAAAAGGTTAAGGTCTGATAGGGGAGGAGAGTATACATCTAATTTAGTTGTACTAGAATGCCAAAAATATGGTATAGTACATGAGGAAACACCTCCTTATTCACCACAATCAAATGGAGTAGCTGAACGGAAAAATAGAACTTTTAAAGATATGATTAACAGTTTATTAGAGAATTCTGGATTACCTAAATTTATGTGGGGGGAAGCCTTGAATACGGCATGTCATATTTTGAATAGGGTTCCCATGAAGCATAAAGATAAGTGTCCATTTGAACTCTTGACAGGCAGAAAACCAAGTTTGAAATATTTTAAGGTGTGGGGCTGTCTTGCAAAAGTATTAGTCCCTGAACATAAAAGAAAGAAACTTGGGCCTAAAACTGTTGATGCTATTTTTATTGGTTATGTTGAACATTCTTATGCAATGAGATTTTTGGTTATTAAATCTGAAATTTCTGGCATAGATGTCAATACTATTGTAGAATTTCGTGATGCTACTTTCTTTGAAGATGTATTTCCAATGAAAACGGGTGTGCCCCAAAATACTTCTTTTGAAAATCAAGAAACTGCATTTAATTCAATTCCTAATCAAGTGGAAAAGATGACAAATGTGGGGGTAGAATCTGGTAGTTCTAGTCATATTGATTTTGAATCAAATGATCTAGATGAACCGAGAAGGAGCAAACGAGCTAGAATCACTAAGGATTTTGGAAGTGATTTTATCACTTACAATATTGAGGGTGATCCAATTTCCTTTCGAGATGCAATGGCCACGTCTGAGGCCATGTATTGGAAGGATGCCATTAAAAGTGAAATGGACTCCATTGTTCAAAATGGAACATGGGAGCTTGTTGATCTTCCTCCCGGGTGGACTACTATTGGATGTAAATGGATTTTTAAAAAGAAGCTAAAACCAGATGGAACCATTGATAAATATAAGGCCAGATTGGTTGCTAAGGGTTATAAACAAAAAGAAGGTATTGATTTTTTCGATACATATGCTCCAGTTGCAAGAATGACCACAATAAGAATGCTTATAGCATTGGCCTCCGTATATGGTCTTAAAATTCATCAAATGGATGTTAAGACAGCTTTTCTTCATGGTGACCTTGAAGAAGAAATATATATGGATCAGCCCGAGGGATTTGTGGCAAAAGGCAATGAGAGAAAAGTTTGTAAATTAGTTAAGTCTTTATATGGACTTAAGCAAGCCCCTAAGCAATGGAACGAAAAATTTGATAAAATAATTTCTTCGTTTGGATTTACTCTTATAGATGCTGATCAAAGTGTTTATTATAAATGTAAAGGTGATATAAACATTATTTTATGCCTATATGTTGATGATATATTATTATTTGGCACTAATGATAATATTATTTTTGAGACTAAGTCATTTTTGAAAACAAAGTTTGAAATGAAGGATATGGGGGTGGCGGAAGTAATTCTTGGGCTAAAGTTGACTAGATCAACCGAAGGCATTTCTATTTCTCAGTCTCATTATATTGAAAAATTAATCGAGAAATTTGGATTTAAAAATAGTAGAATTGCTAAAACACCCTATGATCCTTCTGTAGCTTTGTATAAAAATGAAAGTGGTGTTCCTGTGTCTCAATTAAAATATTCTCAGATGATTGGTAGCTTGGGTTACTTAGCTAACTGTACTAGACCTGATATTGCATTTTCAGTGTCTAAACTTAGTCGGTACACTTGCTGTCCAAACAGAACTCATTGGGAGGCCTTAGATAGAGTATTTAGATACTTGAAAGGAACTATTTCTTTGGGTTTGCATTATGGTAAATATCCTCCTGTTCTTGAAGGATATAGTGATGCAAGCTGGATAGCTAAAAACTCCGGGAGTTATGGGTGCACCGGCTATGTGTTTACGTTTGGTGGTGGGGCTGTTGCCTGGAAGTCCACTAAACAAACTGTACTTTCTCGGTCTACTTTTGAGGCCGAATTATGTGCCTTGGATACTACAGGGATTATGGCTGAATGGTTTATGGGACTAATGTCCGAGTTACCTATATTCAGCAAGCCAATCCCACCTATTTGTTTGCATTGTGATAGTATGAGTACAATTGCAAAAATTAGGAGTACCAAGTATAATCAAAAGACTAGGAGACACATTCAAGTTAGATTAAAAACTATAAGGAAATTTGTGTCTCAAGGGGTATTTGCTGTTGATTTTGTTGGATCCAAAGATAATACAGCGGACCCGTTAACAAAAGGACTTGATTTAAATCAAGTGATAAAATCAAGGTTAGGAATGGGACTGAAACCCAATAATTATTCATCTACGGTAGCAACCCAACCTATCTGAGTGGAGATCCCATAAAGTAGGTTCAATGTGGTATAAACAAACCATAGAGTGAATTGTGCATCTCATTTAAATAATTTCATGAGTTCTATTCCTTGATAAACCTTAGAGATGCTGAAGTTGCTAAGCTAGTAAGAGTTTAAGACTCTGAATGGGATCGAGCTTTAATAGCAGAGTGTTAGCAATGCACTCTTGGAGATGCCCAACTATGAGAATGTTATTGTGTGGTCGCAATAAGAGAATGTGGGTTTGTTCTCGATGACATTCTTGAGACAGGATCGGATGCATGGCCGTAAAGCGTCACCCCTATAGATCGTTGCCATTGCCGTTAGTGTGTTGCATTTATCCCACGCCAACACAATCAAGGTTCGAGTTCAAGAACTCTGTTCACTCAGTTCCTGTGGGGGTTAGGGGTAAGAGCTTAGAATTTGGTTCAAACCGGAAGGTACCATATTTAAAAGCATACTATGTCACTTAGAGTTGAGCTTACAACTATGGATTTGTGGGGGATTGTTGGAAATATGATGATATAAGCATTATTTATTTGGGTCACATTATTGTGTCCTAAGATATAATTGTATTAAATATGGAGAGTAGGCTGATAATACATCAAAGAATAACTTACATATTTGGATTTAAAATTAGAATCCATAGTTGTAAAGATTGTAAAGTGATGTATTAAAGCAATGAATTTATTTGTTCCATATTAGAGGCTAAATCATCTCGTATGATTATTTATAATCATTATATGATAAGGAACACTGTTCAAGTATCATATAAGGTGATGTGACATTTTAATTTTCACTTGTATGTGTGCGTGACCGGACATATTATAAGTGATGGAATTGATGTCGTAATTCTAGACTCTCTAATTTTGTGAACAATATAATGTAATAGCTAATAGGATTTTTTAAGTTGAATTCAAATTCAAAATGATAATCCTCGATGCTATTAAAGAGATTCATAAACATGGATCCGTTTTGGCCTTAACTCTCATGGTTTAATACGTGCATTTGATTTCCGTTAAAACATCCTGGCGCCTGCTCCTTTAATTTTTTTAAGTACGAAGTATACGTTTTGTATACAAAGTACTAAAAGGTGGAGCAAGTCACATTTTTGCATGAGCTATATATACTTCTCACGTAGCATTAGAAAAAAAAAAAACAAGGCTCTGCACACTCAATATATGAATGATCTTTTTCTTTTGTTGAGTTGAATCATCCGTGACCTTGCTTTTCTTTTCCAAAGAAATACATAGTTTGAGACCATAGTTTTCATAAGTTGTTTAAGCCAACTCTATTAATTGGCAAGTTTGGCAACGGTCGAAGGTTTCAGTCAAGGTAGCTACAAGTCTGGAACGTGGTAGGATTATCCTGGGAGCGAGTTAGCCAGACCCGTCCGAATAGCTATCGGGATACGGGGGCTATCTTTCTTCAAGACCAGTCCGTTCTAACGGGCGATCCTGCGATAAGTTTTTCTCATCTTTTCTCTTTATTCACTTTTATTATTCTAATTATTATTATTATTATTTTTTATTTGTTCTTGCATTTGTTGGTTTGTCTGGTGATTTGTATAAACTCGGGATTTTTATCCGGTTAAACTCGCATTCTTAATATCAATTTTCTAACAGTTTTCTAGTGGTCATTGGTCTTTTCTTGGAGCATTACTTGCAGGTCATGAACCTCGGTCTTTTAAGGAGGCCATGTCTGATGCTGGCTGGCGTGAGGCTATGCAGAAAGAAATTCGTGCTCTTGAAGATAATCATACCTAGGTTATGGAGTCGCTCCCCCTGGTAAGAAAGCTCTTGGGTGCAAATGGGTGTATAAAATAAAATATCACTCTAATGGTACCATTGAACGCTTAAAGGCACGACTAGTTGTCTTTGGTAATCATCAACAGGAAGGTATTGACTACACGAAGACCTTTGCCCCCGTAGTAAAAATGGTTACTATTCGTATGTTTTTAGCTGTTGCCGCAGCTAAAAAGTGGGAACTTCATCAGATGGACGTTCACAATGCTTTTCTTCATGGTGATCTTCAGGAGGAAGTTTACATGAAACCTCCACCCGGTTTTACTACCTCTCGGCCTGGGCAGGTGTGCCGTTTGCATAAATCTTTATATGGGCTACGTCAGGCCCCGCGGTGTTGGTTTGCTAAATTAACTACCTCCTTGAAGAGTTATGGATTTTCTCAATCTTATTCTGATTATTCTCTTTTCACTATGTGTCGAGGGAATACCCAGTTATATGTGCTTATTTAT